TTTTTTTTGAGACGTCCGATTGGAATTTGACCATTGTGGGACACAATTCTACATGTTTCCTTTCATTGATTCGATTATATCCACAATGAAAGGAAAATTTTGTAAGAAAAGGAACCCATGTTGTTGGAGAGTAGAAAAATATATATAGTTAGGGGTTTTGGCTTATTGGTAAAGACATATTAACGTAAGGTTTAAATTTCAATTACGCAAGTATCTCAAACCCAAATATCATTAGGGTGATGCCATAGGATAATTTTTTTATCTCACTTTTTTATATAATTTTTATATCATTAAAGGAGTAGATGTATTTAATATCATGAGTTTTACATGAATTAAAAGAATTAATTATTTTAATAACATATCAAATTATATAAAAAAATAATAATTATCCCAATAACATTTTTCATATCATTAATGGTCAATGATTTGAAGATGAGATTTACCCTCAAAATAATGTCTTCGATTAAACATAGGTCTTATTTTCAAAATAAATAAATAAACATGGGTCCCTAGGTTTTAGCTTGTTTAATTTATTGATAAGGAGCAATTTGATCTTTGAGGAATATATAAATCTATCATTTTGGATAACTACAACTAAAAAAAAAAAAAAAGAATGATTGTCAGATCCTCTACATTCAAATATAAAGTTTAGATTTTTTAAATGGTCAAATGACATCACTTCAAGTGCATTTTTTTTTATTATTTTTATGATACAAGAATCTAAAACTTTAATTGATTAATTCTATTATTGTTATGCCTTTACAGTCTGTTCAATTTAGGGAGTGTTTTAGAGGAAAACTTTTTATAATCAATCAAATTATTAAACTAATAATTTAATTTGATTGGTCAAAATAAGCTCATTTCCCTCTTTCTTCCATCCAGACCCTTTATTTTTATCAATTTTTTTTTCTTTTATCTTGAGTCTTCTAATGTAAAGTAACAATTTTTTTATCTCTTAACTCTCCTTAATTACTTTCATATTATGTGATTCAAACACAGAATTTCTAAATAATTAAACAAGTTGTCAGTCATTATTGATTTAATTATGAAAGAATTGTTGTTAATTACCTAAATAGTTCAGTGGTAATCTCTTTTCGTTGAAAGTAAGAGGTCCTGTTCAAATCGCATGATATGCGGGTGAGATGAGCTAAGGGATAAGAAATAATTACCTCTCATTGTACAACCAACATAAAAAAAAAATTATGAAAGAATTGTTAACTATATATTGTCAAAATTAGAAATAAAATAGCACAAATTGAGCATTAAGATATAGTAGATATCATTGTCTCCATCCGCTCTAATTGGCTTTCTGCATATTATAAAATCGCTAAAAACTTACTTTTAACTCCTTGCCTTATCAAATTTGAAGGTTTTAACCTTTCATCTTATACTATAACACTTTGAACCCCTCATCTTATACTATGACATTTTGAACCTCTCATCTTACTAGATTTATAGATTTTAACCTCTCACCTATTAAAATCGAAGAAAATAGCCCTCACTTTATACTGATTATTAACTCTGTTAGCTAAAAGTAGATTTTTATCAACTAACAGTCAACTAATAATTAGTTAACAAAATTAATAAAATATTATAAGTTAATTATGTTAACTCTGTTGGCTGAAAGAAGATTTTTGTAAGCTAATAATCAACTAACAATTAATTAATAAAACTAACAGTCTACTAACAGAACTAATAAAATATTATCTAATGAGAACTATTTTATTTAATTTTAATAGGTAAGAGCTTAAAAGTGTAATAATATAAAATAAGAGGTTAAACCTACAAATCTAGTAAAATGATGAGTTAAAAATGTCATAATAAGATAAATGACAAAAATCTTTAAATTTGATAAGATGAGAGACTAAAAGTAAAATGAGAGACTAAGAGTAAGCTTTTACCTGTAAAATCCCCCAAATCATAAATCTATCACCGACTACTTAACTTTACACTCATCAAATAATTTTGTTCACTTGTACGAGTGGAACATGGGGCCTTAGTGGCTTAATGTGTTTCTTTTTTATTCCCCTAATATTGAAAATACTCGTTTAAAATAATTTCCCTTTAATTTAAGATTTTTATACAACCTTGTCTTAAATGTTGCTCCCAAACATGATGATTAAGGTGCTCCTCGCACGGTACTCATGTCACTTTTCCATTATTTAACTACCATTTGCCCTTATCCTAAACCTGAAAGGTGCGCAATGGTACACAATGACAGTCCATTGGTAAGGAGTAAAGTAAAATAATTTATTGAGAATCTTGTCCTCTCATAGAATTTTACTATTTCACGTGATAGTAAATTAAGAGTTAATATTTTTTATTTATTGAGTCATATAAATTAATATGTATTTATTTATTTATTACTTGTGATTATTATAACAGAAACTATATATTTATAATATCATGTATAATTATAATTTTATAATAAAAATATAACATTTAAATAAATAAATTCATATAATATTATGTATAATTTTTTGAGTAAAAAAGTCAAGTATAAATAATACATTATGATTATATATAATGTAATATAACATTTTATTTATAATAATTTTTTTTGTTGTAAATAAAATTATCTGTATATTAGCCTAAACAAATTAAATGCCTTTTATTTTTTTCTTTTTGAATGGATTACAATTTTTAGAAAAGGGAGGATTCAAACCCAATACTATGATTGAGGAATCCACTTTACGAGGACATATAACCATCTAACCATAAAGCCTAGATACAAATGCCGTTTACATTTTAAAGAAAAAGAAAAAGAGAAAACATATCCTCCTTTTAAACTCCACTTGTGCCAAATTTGCTTCTTCTTCTTCTTCTTTTATTTTTATTTTTATTTTTATTTTTTTGCTTCCTTTTCATTTAGATGTAATCTTACTAGTTACTGTAAATCTAGTAGGTGGAAAAACTAAGTCAACTAAAAAGGTAAAAATAAAAAATTTAACTTAGAGATACATGAATATGGTTGTCAAAAAGAGAGGTCCACGTTGCTTATCTTCCCTCTATCTTGCACATTCGTATATCTTATGTTTATTTTTTGGTATTAATCTTGTGATATTCAGTAACTACATTGGATCTCGATTAATTTAAAATCAAATTACATTAGATTTTATTAGAGAAAAATTCTCTCAATACTTATTTTTTCACTTAAAAAATTCAAACTTAAAATCTTATTTAAAAGAAATCGAGTTTTTTTCACTAAAATTTGTTATTTTATGTCTTAGGTTGCAATAATTGAGGTAAAATATCATGAGATATGAAGTAAATATTTTTACATTTCCATCATTTTCTAAACTTTACAAAAAGAACCCAAAAAAGAAAAAAAAAACAAGATAAGTGAATGAGGATCAATGCTGATCCAACACGTAACGCAACCCCAGATCTCTCAAATCTCAGCCCATTGAAATGACCAGAAAGAAAAAAACTAAAAATCAGTAACAATCTAAGTGCTAGTGTTTTTAACATGAGTTGAGAAGCTGCTCCAAGTACTCGGCCCCTAAATCCTCCAGCACCACCATGTTCTTTTGCCGTACTTCACTCTGTTTCCCCTTCTTGTTCGTTGACCTCCGCCTCATCGAGTGTCTCCGCTTCAGGGCCACCACCGGAGAGCACCCCTCCTCGCACCGGTACTTGATGTCCTGTAGCGATTCACGGACCACCTCAACAGGAAAATTGAGAGTGGCCAGCGACCCCCTCATGGAAAATGCTGCTTGATCATAGGCCAGCGCCGCTGCCTCCGCGCTATCAAATGTCCCCAGCCATACCCTTACTCCGTTCCTTGTCGAATCCCTTATCTCCGCAGCAAACTTCCCCCACGGCCTCTTCCTAACCCCTCTGTACGACCTCTCCTTTTTAGGCTCCTCCGGACTCGAACTCACCTCTTCCTCCTTCACCACTCCGTCGGTGGAATTCGATTCCGACGATTCTTTAACCCCTTCCGCCAACACATCAAGCAGGAGCATTTCCTCCGAGTCATTAAAATTGAAAGGCAGAGAACTGTGTTGGAACAAAATCTCATCCCAGGAAAAGGATTCGCGGGAAGATTCCGGCGAGAATTCTTGATTTTGGTACTGTAAAAACGAAAACTCCATCTTGGGGTTTGACAACTATTTTAGATTTCTACTCTAAATTCTTGTGACAAGGGAGCAAAGCAGTAGCTAGCTATGTTGGGTTTATGACAAAAGTCGGAAATACCTAACCCTTATATATACCAAAATTCAAGGGAAGAATTGAACAAGAAAATACTAAAAAATGGAAAAGAAAATAAATTTTAAAAAATAATTTTCAAAAAGGCATAATGTCAAGATTATTGGAAAGGGAGGATGTCTTTGGATCTTGATAAATAATTTATCAATTTGTAAGGTTGGACCACACAAGGGGGTAAAAGGACAGAGGGGAAGGGAAGATGGGGGGGTGAAATTACGCACGTGAGTTTAAGGTGACGTACGGCGGCGGGATTGGGTCCCGCAATTTTTATCAGCAGATGATGTCATGTTGCCTTATCGGTTTAGGGAAGTTTCTCCCTCCACGTGGTAGTTAGTTACAACCTGGCAGCGGTTTCCTCCAATGAACATAGGACACCGTGAAAGAGCATCAGAGGTGACAGGAGCGCTATTCTCGCACACAAATTTTTTTTTGAGTTTTTTTAACATGAATTCTAAAAATGTTAATTAAAAAAATGATTCACCTATTTTTTATTATTAAATTATATAAAAAATAAAATTTACCTTTAATTTTAATGACTAATAAATAAAATTAAAATATATGATATTGATATTAAAATTAATATTAATTTTTTATTTTTAATATAAAATAATAATTAAAAATTATATTAATTATACTTTTAATTTGTACTATATAAATATAAGTTAAAAATTTTTTCTTTTAATATATTAAATGATAAGACATAATAAAATCAATTTTTTTATTTTAATTTAAATTTTAAAATTTTAATATAAAAATTTAAATGGTTAATTATTGAAACATCTCTCAATGAATCACACAAATTTATTATGACCACACCAATTTAACTCTTTCATGATAAATATTTTTTTAAACAGTCAAACTATAATGTTAAATGATATTAGTTTGTAAATTAATTTTAATTTATTAATTAATAAATATTAATTTTTTTATTAAATATTATAAAATAATCATTACAATTACAAATTATTTTTAATAATTAAATAAAAATTAATATTTTTAAAA